ACTCTTTCCTGGGTCTCTGGGTGGCTTTAGCTCCCAACCTCCTTTCTACGGCCATTACTTCTAGCTCCCTGTGGTGGCTCAAAAGGCCTTATTTAAACAATGCTCCAAATGTGGTACTAAAATACCACACTCAGACAAGCACAGACTTTGCCTTCTCTCTTGGAGAAGAACATAATGGGGAGACCTGCCATGTTTGCCAGCAATTCACCCCAAAGCACGAGGTGACAGGGCTTTTCAGTTAAAGGCAGCCATGTGGGAAAAGGCACTGACCTCCACCGATAAACCTCCTGAAGCGACCCTGCCACGCACCTCCCAATCCACAGCAACCCCAGTTCTGTCGGTTCCATTGGCTACCCACTTCGAACTGACACAGTGTTGCTCGCTGTCTCCAGTTCTGTCAAATCAAAGAAGCATCTCAGAACCCCCAGCCAAGAAGACTTGATCTAAGTCAAAACACAAGGCAGATCCAAGTCTTCATCCTGAACCCATGGACCACCCAAATTAGACTCCACAACTACCCAACCTGCTGACCTCCCCACTTCCCAGGGACCCCTTCAGCATGCTTTGGTTCACTGATCTAATCCATTACAGAGTGTCCTCTGGGTCAGGCCTCAGCTGCTAGCCTGATACCGACTGAGATGGACCCGTTGGATCTGATGGCCTGGCATCAACCCCATCCTTCATTCTCATGGCAGCCATACCAGTATTATATCTCTCCCACCTATCCTCAAAACGGCTGTGAATGCCCACCGCTTCCACATGCTGACTAGGATCAATATCATTCTCGGTGCCAGAGTCATCCCTCTGCATCACTGTTGGTTCCACCGAGACCACATACGGCTGTTCCTACCCTTGAATCTAATGAGGATGGAAGGCTGGATTGGGATTATAATTCAGGTTGATGACCCTACTCCCATTTTGCCTAATAAAGACCTCAGGTTTATATGGTGAACAGATGTCCATAATGACCCAAGTCTTAGTGATTGACATCAACAGAATGGAACAGAAATCCAAGGACAAGATCATTAGTAGCTGTACTCTGAGACTCTCAGTTTTATTGCCTTCCCTATATTCCCTATATTGGAGGGCTTCAGGGACATTTACAGAGACATCTGGAAGAGAGCTGCCTCTGCATCTGCCACTTTCAGGTGCATAGAAAATCTGCACAAGATCAGTCAGGAGGATGCCATATTCCTCTCTATTCACCCACCCCCTTCCTCTTTAGTGACTGATGAGCTTCACAACAGAGCTCATCCAGCCCGTTACTCCACTCCCACAGACAAGGAAGGGAGAAAACTGGATGCGTTGGGTTGCAAGGTCTACTCTTTGTCTGTGCTCACCTTTAGAATTTCCATCTTTCAAGCTATCATGGGAGTTTAAACCATTTCTATGGCAGAAGGTATCTCCCTGTCTTGAATTTCTTTCTGAGGACAAGAAAGACCTTGCCAAGGTCTTCCTTACTGAAGACATCAGACTGTCTAAACAGCACATCAATACCTCTTGCCACTCCATTGACTCTGCTATAAGAACCATTGCTTCTGTAGTGGTGATTAGACAACATCCCTGGTTGCACTTAACTACCCTGTCCATCGAGACCAAATGTAGGGTGGAGGACCTGCCTTTTGAGGGTTCCACACTTTTCAGAGTGTACAGATGAGACTCTCACTCAGATCAAGAACAATCACCAAACAGCACAGTCATTAGCTCAACCTTCCTCCCCTTATCAGAAGCAGTATCCACCTGCTTCCAGACTGTGGCACCCTTATAGAGACCAGCATCCATTTAATCCACCCAGATTCCCATATCCTCACCTGAGGTCGTCTTTCTCCTACCCATCCTCTTCTAGGTGAAGGAATGGGTCTAAATTGAAGCCTGGCCAAACACAGCCTGCTTCAAGAGACTCCTAGGGTCATCTGACAAAGCCTCCTTTCTGACTAGCTCAAGTTCTTGAGCTGGACAACCCTATCCTTCATTCTCATGGCAGCCATACCAGTATTATATCTCTCCCACCTATCCTAAAAATGGTTGTGAATGCCCACCGCTTCCACATGCTGACTAGGATCAATATCATTCTCGGTGCCAGAGTCATCCCTCTGCATCACTGTTGGTTCCACTGAGACCACATACGGCTGTTCCTACCTTTGAATCTAATGAGGCTGGAAGGCTGGATTGGGATTATAATTCAGGTTGATGACCCTACTCCCATTTTGCCTAATAAAGACCTCAGGCTTATATGGTGAACAGATGTCCATAATGACCCAAGTCTTGGAGATTGACATCAACAGAATGGAACAGAAATCCAGGGGCAAGATCCTTAGTAGCTGTACTCTGAGACTCTCAGTTTTATTGCCTTCCCTATATTCCCTATATTGGAGGGCTTCCAGGACATTTACAGAGACATCTCTGTACCTGCCTCTGCATCTGTCACTTCCAGGCGCATAGAAAATCTGCACACGATAAGTCAGGAGGATGCCACATTCTTGTCTATTCACCCACCCCCTTCCTCTCTAGTGACTGATGAGGTTCACAACAGAGCTCATCCAGCCCGTTACCTACTTTTCATGGTGCTGCTTTCAAAACACACTGCTCATCCAGAAGTTTCTGGGACTGACGGCAGCAACCACTGCTGTTTTACCCATGGCCAGACTCTTTATGCAACCTCTACAGTTATGGTTTGTGTCCAGGTTTAGGCCTGAATGACACTCCCCTCACCACCAGTTTTCCATACCCAGGCAGGTTATAAGGACTCTCGGTGGTTGAAGGACACTAACTTGTTTTCAGGTTTTCCCTTTGGAGTTAGGCAACACAAAGTGACTATCACCACTGACGCCTTCCTAGGGGGAGGCGGCGGAGACTCTGGTGATTTGCGTGTTCAGGGGAAATGGCTTTCTAAGGAGGGCAACCTGCATATAAATATCTTAGAACTAAGAGCCATTAAGTATACTCTTAAGTCCTTCTCAGATATTGTTCAAGGGCAGTTGGTCCTTATCCAGACTGACAATGTTTCTGCCATGTTCTATCCAAACAGACAAGGTGGCACTGGCTCCAGGCTGCTCAGTGCAGAAGTGTCATAAATATGGCATTGGGCGCTAGAGCACAGCACTCATTTACAGGCCATCCACATAGCTGGGGAACACAGCTCACTAGCCGATACCCTAAGCAGGGACCATTCCACACCTGCAATCATGAATGGGCCCTCACACAGAAGTATATCCAGCCTGTTTTTGACCTTTGGGGGAGCCCCAGGGTAGATTTATTCACCACCAGGATGCCATATTTCTATTCTCTGGTGGGCAACAACCCACTTTCCAATCCATTTGGACAGGCACCCTTTTTTACTTGTTTCCCCCTTTGTCGCTCCTCATGAGAGTGGTAGCAAAGTTGCTCAAGGACCGCAAAGAGGCTATCCTCATAGGACCCTCTTGGCCATGCCAAACATGGGTTGCCTTGGATCTTGGACTATGCCTTGGACATAGTCACTTTCCCTCAGTGGTCCCTACTGCCTTCACCTCACCTACCATCTCTTGCCTGTTGGTCAGCTCACCTACCATCTCTTGTCTGTTGGACAAGACAGACTGTTCTGGGGAATGGGAACTCTGTAAATACATCTTGTTTCTCCAACCAGAAAGTTTGGGACCTTGGGAAAAAACATGTTTCTCTGCTGTATGTATCCAGTTTTCCCCAGTAAGTTAGTAGGTAAAGAAACTTGTGCTTTCAAAACTTTAATTGCGGGTCAACAAAACAACAACAAGAAGAGTTTAATATGGTCCCTGCAGGATGTTTACTTTCACGTAGCAATTGACTAGGACCACAGACTTTTCCTCCGTCTCAAGTTCAGGGGAAGGGTGTACCAGTATTGTGTTTTCACTGTGCCCCGAGTTTTCACAAAACGTACAGCCCCTGTTGCCTCCCTCTGGCTTAAAGGTTGTAACATGTTTCCTTAGCTAGAAGACTGGTTGCAGGTTGTTGACTCTAGGGAGGCACTGGCAGACAATATTGCCATGACAATCAGGTCTTGCTGAAACCTATCAGTTGGAAGAAATCTAAATTGGAACCTGCTCAAATGGTTGAATTAATTGAGAATTCAATGAGAACTTCACTAGATTCCTTGTCTGCTAGGGCCTATCTACGCAGATTGAGACATGTAAAATCAGGACTGATTTATAGCTTGCTGAGCAAATTTTGCCACATTTAGTGTAATCTTTTGGGCTCTATCAGCTAAGAGCTTGTCTAGGTAACCACTTTTCTTTGATGTATAGCATTTCATATTGATGCTGTGTTCATCTTTGTCCCTTTTCTTTAGTTCGGACACTATTGCAAGATGCTGGTATATTCTTCTTTCCGGATCTGTGCTCATGAAGGACTCTATGTTTTTGCCACCTTGCAGGTATGTAAGAAGTCAGCATCCTTTCAGTGTAGTGATGAATTATATAAGGTGGGGGGAAAGATAAAAATTCATGTAAATATATATAGCACGAGAAGGTTCAGCCTTCAAATAATAACTGAAAAAAACCCTTGTTTCCCTA